GTTGCGAATGATATGCCGATGTGTAATGTATGCCGTACTACGCACTGGCAAGTGATGCCGGTTAGACATGTGTTAATCATGCATGATTCCTTCGTTTGAGCTGGTACACTTAAAAGTATTGATGGTTCATTCATTTGTTTTTGATTGTACCACTACAACCAATCACAAATAATTGACGGTACCTTTTTAACCCGCGATTTGTTTGAATTGTGAATGAGCCGCAAGCCGACCGAATCCCGAATGATCTGAATAAACAGGCCAATCGAATTAACAATGCGGATTGCAGAGCATAGAGTAGAGTAATATATACACAGAACACCATTACTCCTAGCGGAGAATATATTATACGGAAACTGCAGAGTATCAGGAGTATTTATTATTTAAGGATTTTTTTTATTATAATATTGTTACCTGAACTAAAAATCATTTTATATTTTATTATATTTATTTGTTAAATCTATGAGTTAAAAATATTATTTCGTAGACATAACATAACATAACATAAACACTCACGCCTGTCACCCAGAGGGGTAGGCAGAGACTACAGACTTCCATTTGGCATGATCCTGACACACCTCTCTCGCCTCCTTCACATCCATACACCTCCGCATACATGCTCGTCGGTTAAGGGTACTCCTAATTTGGCCCGTTTTCAATAAATCGCCAATTTGGTCGATAAATTTTCGCCTAGGACGTCCCTTTCCGACTCTGCCATTCACTTCTGCAACATAAATTTTCTTTGTCACTCTTTCCTCATTCATTCTTTCCACATGACCAAACCACCGAAGCATTCCTTTCTTAATCCTGGTCACAACATCATCTTGCAAACCACACTCTTCTCTTATTACACAATTTCTTACCCTGTCATTAAGATTCAGCCCTAACATACTCCTTAACGACCGCATTTCTACTGCGTTCATTCTACTCTCGTGCTTCTTCTGCCACACCCAACTTTCACTACCATTTGTTAAAGTAGGGTTACCAAACATATTTCGTAGAGTTTACTAAAAATAACACTTCAAAAGATTTCATGATAAATGATTTATTTAGTGATAATTTTCAACCATCATAAATAAGTATAAGTTAGGTAAAAGTTTAATTTCGTAGCAAATAAATGTTACAGTCCCTATTTTTAGACATGTAAAGTAAGATGAAATTATGTAATGATAGGAATGCAATTTAAGAATAAACAAATTTATTAAATATTTAAAATATATGATAACTTGAGGTTTTTGTGTTTATGCCATCTAGCGTCGATTTTTGTTACCAACTTGAAAGTTAATAAGTTTTAGTTCCATAAAATGACTTTATTACCTGTAACATGTAGTAGATGGCGCTTTTACAAATCTCAAATAGGAAATTTTCAGTTCCCAATGGATCGCACAGACTCGCAGAGTACTGGAGCCTGAAAGGACCCATTTGAATGATCGATCCGAATGTGCCGGTACGCGTGACGAAATGTACTAGAATGATTCGGACCCCGGAGGAATATAACCAGTGACCGGAGCAAGTGCCAGAAGTCTGCCTTACAAATCTGCGTTGAGTCAAGATGAAGACAAGTTGGACTAGTTTGCAGGAATTGAAGACTGCAGAAGACGATTCTCAGTAGTGAATGGTAGGGGTTCTTGAGGATAATGACGAAGGCTTGAAAGTTGTAGTTTCCGAAGGTTGTTGGTTGCGTGTTCAGACCACGTCGTGTGGTCACCAGTGTGGCCGTAGAAAAAAGATCTCCCACCGGGCAAGGTGTTCTGCCCGGGGAGCGGCCAACGCTCCATGTGATAGTTCGGAGCTGTTCCATATATACTTTTTATGATTCGGAACTTTGATAGCGCGATTTAGGCTGTGTTTCGCTTGTGGCGCGACGACAGTGCCGCCACAATGTCTTAACACAGACTTCAGAAGCTATTTACGTTGATATTATTTTATTCTTTTAGTTTGTTAAAGTCGGTTTTTCTTTAATTTTCTTCTTGCAAATACAACTGACGTTTAGTTCACCACACGTATTAGGCAGATTAGAAGGCGCGGCTTCGGCCTCACATGAGTTCTCCATTACCAGGTATGCTGATACCCTCCTGGGGTAGTCTTTTATTTAAATTTCGCTACCATATTACGGAGGGTGGGGGTTGGGGCTCTGACCACTTGCACTAACCAAGCGTAACGCAGAAGTTATGCTTCTACTTTTCTACTTCACGCTAGTATTCTGTGAGGCCGTGGTACATCCCTGGTTCGAGCTGGCCCATCCGTGCAACAGCCAAAGCTGCCGCGTAGCTCAATCACTATTGAACTAAAGACTGAAACTGAAACTGAATGCACTAACGACACACCATTATCATGATCATTACAGCCTATGAAAATCTTACTTTTAATTGTAGCCTTCTTCTATGGAATGCCTCATAGAAGCGGAGGGGGGATATAGATTACGTAGTTGCCACGCATGGCCGACTGGTGGGCAACCGCAGTCTTATTATTCTGAGTGGCGTGTAGCAAGACGCTACTACCCATATCCTGTATCAAGTCCCTCTGTGGCGTCTTACGACACCCACGGATGATGAAAGAGCTTAGTTCTTCTATTCGATAACTAGATGGCGCTAGTGGGAGAGTTTATAGAAAGATCTTGATGCTCCTATTTCTGCTGTTTGATACTAGATAGCGCTAATAATCACCCGCAATATACAGGGCGCTAATTATAGCGCGCAATAATATAAACAGAAACTTCATAAAGAATTACCTTTGGAATATTTAATGTAAGTATTCTAAGCATTGAATGGGATAAATTTAAAGGCTGCACAGCGCCTTTATTCAAGCCATCTCTCTACGTAGCTGAGTAGTGACGGCGTACTCAATCGCGCATCCCATGGGTGTCGTAAGAGGTAACTGAGGGAAATTGAAAATCGGCCAAGTGCGAGTCGGACTCACGCATGAAGGGTTCCTAACCATCGTAAAAACACGTTTCCTTTTAATTTTCAATTTATTCCTATTATTTGTTGTTATAGTGGACAACATAAATACACATTCACGGAAAATTTCAATTGTGTACCTATTACGGTTTATGACAGGTAATAGCTTCATAGTTGAAATTCCGAAATAGGGTTCTTTTGGTTAACATTTGGGTATGGAACCCTAAAATAGGAGATAGGTAGCAAAATTTTCCTCATAACAACTCAAAATAAAATTGCGGTTGCCAACTTGCCTGCCAAACATTGCAACTACGCGAATAATTTGGGGGAAGCCTATGTTCAACAGTAAGAAGACTTTGATAGGCCGTAATAGTAAATCATGAATTACAAATTATATGCTAAGGATGAAAATTATGGTATTTTTATCTAGTTTATTTTGCTTTGCTATTATACGAAAAAATTAATATACTTCGTTATTTTTTTATATCTTTATCTTTTTTTATATCTACAATTTGAGTACTCCTATTAACCGATTAACAATATTATATTTAAATATTTTAAAATATATTGAAAATTAAATGGTTTATATGCCAAGGATGATCTAGAATCTAGATACTGAAATAAATTAAACATTTTTAATTTTTTTTTATAGTTTTTTATAGTGTTACTGTGAAATTATAGGAGTTCTTTATTTGGAATCGGTTACATTTGTCGGTTGGTAGCATTATTCACAGGTGGTATCTACAAAATCGGTTGTCACAATAACATGATATATAGAGAAAGGGTTTCTACGCTGACCATTACAAGACTTTACATACAAAATTTTTTTTATAGTTTTTTATAGTGTTACTGTGAAATTATAGGAGTTCTTTATTTGGAATCGGTTACATTTGTCGGTTGGTAGCATTATTCACAGGTGGTATCTACAAAATCGGTTGTCACAATAACATGATATATAGAGAAAGGGTTTCTACGCTGACCATTACAAGATTTTACATACAAATTTTTTTTTATAGTTTTTTATAGTGTTACTGTGAAATTATAGGAGTTCTTTATTTGGAATCGGTTACATTTGTCGGTTGGTAGCATTATTCACAGGTGGTATCTACAAAATCGGTTGTCACAATAACATGATATATAGAGAAAGGGTTTCTACGCTGACCATTACAAGACTTTACATACAAAATTTTTTTTATAGTTTTTTATAGTGTTACTGTAAAATTATAGGAGTTCTTTATTTGGAATCGGTTACATTTGTCGGTTGGTAGCATATTCACAGGTGGTATCTACAAAATCGGTTGTCACAATAACATGATATATAGAGAAAGGGTTTCTACGCTGACCATTACAAGACTTTACATACAAAATTTTTTTTATAGTTTTTTATAGTGTTACTGTGAAATTATAGGAGTTCTTTATTTGGAATCGGTTACATTTGTCGGTTGGTAGCATTATTCACAGGTGGTATCTACAAAATCGGTTGTCACAATAACATGATATATAGAGAAAGGGTTTCTACGCTGACCATTACAAGACTTTACATACAAAACTATCAAAAACACCTGCTTCTATGCAATGAGAAACAAAATGCAGATGCATCGTAACCTGAGGTCTAAAATATTCCATCTTAGTTTTCAAGAAGGGCAGGGGGAAGAATTGTTGCCAGCAAGAAACGGCTCTATCTTCTCATAGTGTAGACACTTATCTTATAAAACGCCATATTATGTAGTATTTTATTATGGTATACTATGAGAATGTGGTCCATGACCGAACGTGTCGAGCCATTCGTACTACTCGTACTACAGCGTGGTTCTGCGAAGACAAGATCTCTGAAAGGTCTATTCTCACTCTAATACCAGGTAATTCTTGCAACAGCAGCAGAAAAGTCAACTACGAAAAAGGTTGGATGCACGCGGTAAAATTTTTACAGCGCAGCGGTTAGATACAAAAATGTTTATGTAAGTGTGAATATAATTCGTTTTTATCACATTGTAACAGAAGTTAACAGGGTTATTGTAACAAAAACAAGTAATATGACCGAGTTTGTGTAGTGATTTGTACATTATTAATTCTTTTTAGTATGCTTTTAAATGTCGAGTCATGATGAAGCTTGTGACAATTTATTTCGTCTTCTCGTCGTTTATAGCAGTTGTAGTTTTAGCTGGACTTGAAGAACGCTTTCGTCTTCTTTACTCGGACGCAGTTAAATGTAAGTTTAAACAATAACTCCTTTGTACAATACATTATAGTTATTTAGAAAAAACAATGCACCTGTAGTTTTTAATTTGAAGTTCGTTGCAAAAAGTAAAGCATTCGTCCCACAGATGAGCACAGGGCTGCTGTTATTTTTTGAGAAGGTAATGGAGTAAATTAGTCCATCGCGCTTTTTTTTATTTCACACGATGTTTTCCTTCACCGCCCAGTGCGTGGTATATCAGCAATTCTAATTGCAATAGCGAATTTCATTGGTGTCAGCGAGGATCAAACCCGGTTTATTCACATACTTTGAAATCTACGGCGCGCGCTTAGGTCGTCCTTTCAGGTTAAAATTGTAATTATTTGATCCGGTTTACTTCGTTACGGTTACAGCCTATCGAAAGTCCACTGCAGAACATAAGCCTCCTAGATAGATTGTCTCATCGGGAGATATTTATCACCTGCTTGGTATAACGGTTTTCCACCGCGGTTCTATTTTTTAGTTCTTATTGGTAAGATGCTGCTCCCCATCTACTTTCATCCCTCTTTCGACTTTTACGACACCCACGGGACGATATGGGGTAGTGGATATTTATTTATTATATATATATATATATATATATATGTATGTATGTATGTATGTGAAGAGCCGTGGTGGCTCAGTGGTTAACGCTCGCTGTAAATATAACAGAACGCGAGTAACCCGGGTTCGCACCCCGCCGGCACCAATGAAATTGTTAATTGCAATTTTAAGTGCTGATTTACATGTGGTGAAATGATGTCTAATAAGAAAAAAAGTATTTCGAAGACATGTGAAGTTCGTCAACACGCATTTGGGCAGCGCTGCGGACACTTCCTTCCCCTAAACCCTCTCAGAAATGAGGGGAGGCCTGAGCCCAGCAGTGGGACGTATATAGGCTGTAACTTTACTTTAACTTCACTATACGTATGTGTAATCCCTGAGCGAACAAGACTCTGTAAATAATTTTACAGAGCCTTGTTAGCTCAGAGGCATAGCACGTTGTAAATTCACACGCGTAAATGTATAATGTATCTCGTGCATCGTGTCGTATGTACACGAGCAACCCTGGATGGATCGCCGCCGGTACCAATGAAATTGGTAATTGCAGTTTTACCACGTACTCGTCAGTAAAAGAAGGCATCTTGAGGAAACCTACATGTGTGAGAACTTAAAAAAAATCAATGATATGTGAAGTTCGCTAATACGCATTGGAGCAGCGTGGCAGACACTTCCCTATCCTAAAACCCTCTCAGAGACGACAGGAGGCCTGTGCCCAGCAGTGAAACGTATATAGGCTGTAACCATAGAATAAATAATAGCGTAATAACTGTAACTTTACTTTTAAATTATTTTAGAATATCGAAGTGGCTCGCCCTGTAATTTTTTTATAGGATAGGGTGACAGTGACACAGTTCACCTGATGGTAAGTGGCCTATATATCTACATCTATCCTCGATTACGAATCAAAATGCAGATGTGTTGTCACCCGAGAGGACTAAGATGGAATGCCTCGTATCCCGTAAAAAGTGTCTCCGTTTCTCTACACTCACCATACGAAACACAGCAACATTAACCTACTATTTTACGCTGTGAGAGCGTGGTCCATCCTCGATCGAGCCAACCCATTCATGCTATAACTATACTAGAATAAATAATAGCATAATAACTGTAACTTCACTTTTAAATTATTTTAGAATATCGAAGTGGCTCGGTCTGTAATTTTTTTATAGGATAGGGTGACATTGACACAGTTCACTTGATGGTAAGTGGCCTATATATCTACATCTATCCTCGATTACGAATCAAAATGCAGATGTGTTGTCACCCGAGAGGACTAAGATGGAATGCCTCGTATCCCGTAAAAAGTGTCTCCGTTTCTCTACACTCACCATACGAAACACAGCAACATTAACCTACTATTTTACGCTGTGAGAGCGTGGTCCATCCTCGATCGAGCCAACCCATTCATGCTACAACTATACTACTAATATAAATACATCATGGCTCTACCACGTAAGTAAATATACCATTAATGTCATAACATTCACAAAAATGCCATTGGTGATTATATTTTTTATGATAATGTGATTTTCCAAATATTTTGGGCTATATATATACATATATATACCTTTCTTTCCTACAGGTAATTTCAACAAATCGCTTGATCTGGACGTCAATGATACAAAAGTGTACTTTTATGATTTTGCAAATAACATTTACATCGTCTGTGAAATAAGGACTGCGGTCGACTGCGTAACTAAAGCTATAACTCTGGACTCGTCTAAACGTTTTGTGGTCTTCGTCCCTGGGTATAAATGTTATATAAAACACGACATAGAGGAATGGATGAGGCAAGCATACAAAGATGATCCAAATATATATCTCATCATTATCGATCACTCCGCGTATACTTACGAGACAGAGGAAAAACTTAGAAGCTACGAAAGATCTGTTCTCTATTCCTACTATATTGGCAAAGCATTGGGTGACCTTCTCGCAGAATTCAATAGAAAAGGATATTCGTCTGGAAGCTTCCATTGCATTGGTCATAGTTTGGGTGCTCATATTGTCGGTTACGCCGGTGAAAGTTACTTCGTTGAAACTTCAGAAAAGATTTGGAAAATAACCGGATTGGATCCGGCTGGCCCTTGTTTTACTAAGGCCGCGCTTGAAGAGCAGCTGAGGTCTGGGAACGCGGAGTATGTCGAAGTATATCACTGCAATGCGGGACATTTAGGTACTAACAATGTAATAGGAGATATAGATTTCTTTTTCAACGAAGAAGGAAAGATTCAGCCCGACTGCCGAAGTAAGTATATAACAATTTTTACATTAATATAATATATAATTAATATAATGACTTATTTTTTATTATAAGTAAATATAAGAACAAGTATTTTTATGTGATAAAGCCACGCTGCAGCCGGCTACAGCACGAATGGGTCAGCTCAAACGGGAAATTATCACACACTCGTAGAATACTTTTATAAAACAAGGATAATACTACTGAGTTTCGTATGGTGAGCATAACTAAACAGAATTTATACAAGGTATAGCCACGTTGCAGCTATATTATGGTTGTAGCACGAACGGGTCGCCTCGACCGAGAGGGGGTAGAAGTTTGGTGGGGTCGAGCTTATTCCCCCAATTAGCTCAATTGCATAGTAAAGTAGTCAGATAGACTCCATTTATTTTGGAGCATAAAATAATATATTCTAAAATGAGTAAGTTGTAATCTATCCATGTTATTTTTTTCTCTAGGTTTGAGCGACGAAGACTTGGACAAATGTTATCACAAAGTTTGCGTAAAGTATTGGACGAGAACGGTTCATCAACCAAATTTGTTTTCGGCCCTGGCTTGTCCGACATATAAAGCGTTTTCGGAAGGCCGATGTAATAACAGTAAAACGACAATGGCCGGACATTCGAACCCGGGGAATGCTACAGGAATATTCTACGTATCAACTGAATTTGATCAAGAATCGTGATCAACATCAAATAAAGTTAATAAATTTTTAACAATTTTGTCTAAGTTTCAAAAGCATGATTTTGGATGAGCTTCTCTATATTTTGTGAAGCAAGGCAGAGACTTTATTCTAAAGCTTTGAGGGGAACTAGCTGGCGTCATGACAAAGACAAGATGTCGTATTTTAACTGTAATTTTAAATTTCAAATAATTATAGTTATGTAAATATGTGAACTTTAAAACAAAAAGATAAATCTCTTTATTCTCGAACCCGTGTAAATTTCTAAAAATCCTTCCTTATTCCTTGTCTACATTATAAGAGAAATCTCTGCAAAATTTCGTCTTTCTGGGTCCAAAGGGTTTGGGTAGACGCAGATATGTTAATGATTTATTACAGCAAAGAGGAGTGCGAGAGTGAACGAATCGGGACTTGTTTATATATATATATATATATATATATATATATATATATATATCAATATACAGAGATATTTTACATATATCAATATACAGTATGGATAGAGCTATTTGTCCTCATCATTCTTCATCTTATCACTTAATTCATAAATTAAAAATATCAAGACTGAAATAACTTTTCTTTTTTTTTTTTAATAATTCAGTACGTGAACTAACAGCCAGTACGGTGCTATACAACAATTGTCAAATAAAAAATATAACGCCTGGTAGTAAGTATGTAGCAAATACGCATTTATGTTTACATTTTTGATTGTTTTTTCTCCTGTTTACCCATATTGTTTTCACAATAGGAATAGGTCGGCTATAACGGTGGTAGAGCCACGCGGCAGCTTTGCTGTCGCACGTATGGGCCGGCTCAAACCCGGTGGTACCACGACCTCACAGAATACCGGCGTGAAGTGGAAGCTCCGCTTCCGCGTTTCGTCTGGTGAGTGCAGGTGGCCGGAGGCCCAAATCCCCCCCCCATCAACATGGTAGCGGAATTCAATGATAGACTACCCCAGGAGGGTACCAGCACCCCTGGAGAATCCCTCGCTGAGCATCCACGACCATGTTTTTCCACTTCTGAGCGTGGGTGCTCAGGCTGCCCCGCGTATTCTGGGGGGGGGGGGCAAAATTCCGCTCAAGACTAAAACTGCTCGGGGCAAACGGAGCAACAAGACCAAGGCGACCCCTGCCACGCTGTCCGTGAATTTCTGCAATATCAGGGGACTTCACTCCAACCTAAACGCCGTCCACTACCATCTCGAGACGGCGAGGCCGGCTCTGCTCTTTCTGACCGAGACGCAGGTGTCCTCTCCGGCTGATGTCTCGTATCTCTCCTACCCGGGGTACAAACTGGAACACTCCTTTGTGCCTCGGGCTGGAGTTTGCGTTTACGTCAGAGAGGACATCTGTTCTCGACGCCTCGGCAGACTTGAAGGTTCGGACCTGTACATCCTTTGGCTACGCGTAGACAGCGACGACCATCCGCGCGTCTACGGGTGCCTCTATAGGTCCCACAGCGGTAATGCCGAAACAGACCGACTCTTCGACCACGTCCAAATGGCTGCAGATTCGTTGCTACAGCAGATCCCCTCCGCAGAGATCGTGATCCTCGGTGACTTTAACGCCCATCACGCCGAATGGCTCGGTTCACGTTTAACCGATCATGCGGGGAGATCTGTTCATGATTTTGCCTTGGCATATGGTCTGACACAACTGGTTACTTTGCCTACGAGGATTCCAGATGTGTTTTAGCGTTAACCGCTAAAAAGAACCCCTTTGTCGTATCCCCTCAGTTTCAAGGCACTCCCCTTGTTGCCTCAGCCAGTATCGGAATCCTCGGCGTCGACATATCGAGTGACGTGCAGTTTCGTGGTCACTTGGAAGGGAAGGCCAAATTGGCCTCTAAAAAAGCTTGGCGTGCTCACCAGAGCGGGACAGTATTTCATGCCGGCACACCGCCTGCAACTTTACAAGGCGCAGGTTCGGCCGCACATGGAATACTGTTCCCATCTCTGGGCTGGGGCTCCCCAGTACCAGCTCCTTCCACTTGACCACATCCAGCGCAGAGCGGCTCGAATCGTCGACGACCGAGTGCTTTCCGATCGGCTCGATTCTCTGGCACTGCGAAGAGATGTTGCATCCCTTTGCATTTTCTTTCGCATATACCATGGAGAGTGCTCTGAGGAATTGTTCGGATTAATCCCAGCCGCCAAATTTCGTGAACGCACTACGCGGCAAACGTCCCGATACCATCCACACCATCTGGATGCTTGGCGGTCCACCACTGTACGTTTCAAAAGGAGTTTTCTTCCGCGTACAACCTCTCTGTGGAATAATTTACCACCAGCGATTTTTCCGGACCGATACGACCTGGGGACCTTCAAGAAAGGAGCTTACTCCTTTCTAAAGGGCCGGCAACGCATCTGCAATTCCCCTGGTGTTGCAGTTGATCATGGGCGGCGGTAGTCACTTAACATCAGGTGAGCAACATGCTCGTTTGCACCCTCTTCTATAAAAAAAAAAAAAAAAAACACTGCGGAAAGGCAATGGTAACACAAAACCGACGTAAAATAGGAGCTTAATGCTGCTGTGTTTCAAATGGTGTTTCATATGTTGAAAACTGGAGACTCCTTTTATTGGTAACGAGACATGCTATCTTAGTCTTCAGAAGTGACAGATATTCATTTAGCTTCAGAAGAGATAGATATTCATTTGTTTAACGCTACGGACATTTCCTTGCCCTAAAACCCTCTCAGAAATGAATTAATTCAAGTAAAATATTTTATTTTCAGAAAAATATGCCCCAGCAATTATTACGTTTTCTTCGTTTTCTTATGATCCCAATGAATATGATTATTGCGAGAGTGAAGATTAAGTTTTTCCTAAACGCGAACTATGTACGGAGGTCTAAGCCTCGAATAGGTCTAACGTAAACTTAAACTTTACATAGATTTAAATAATACTTCAGTTGTGAGGGTTTGAGATTTCCTAAAACTTCAATTGTGTACGCTTTATTAAAAAGGCAAAGGTTAGATTAGTTATATCCCGGGATAACTGCACTGACTTGTGGGAGAGAAGGGAAATCGGTCTGTAGTTCTTCAAGAGAGCTTTGTCGCCTTTCTTATAGAACAAGACCACCGCACTTCTGCTCCACGCCTCTGGAGTAGTGCCACCATGGAGGACGGAATTGAAGAGCTTCTGAAGGACTTCAAGTAGATGTATCACCCGCTTTCAGAAGCTCCGCTGTAATTCCATCCTCGCCTGGGGCCCTGCCGTTTTTAAGGTGCTGGAGAGCCACTCTAATCTCGCTTAGACTGACGTCCGGGATTTCATCGGAATAGTGTCGGACAAGACTTGCTCTTGGATCGTTACTCACACTTGCACACGCAAGGTTCCAACGATGATATGTACAGCTGCCCATAGAACCTCTCAATCTCACTCAAAATCTCAGGTGCCCCAGCTTCAGTCTTCAGCTTTGACAGTTGGCTCTTTCTGGCAGACAGATCTCTGGCAAAGACTTTGGAGCCCTAGTTCCGCTCGATCGCTTCTTTAATACGAGTAGTATTAAAGTTGCGTAAGTCTCGCCGCATGTATTTGGAGATCTGTCTGTTCAGTTGCCTGTATGCTGTCAAATCTGTTGTCGAGTGATCGGCGAGTTTTTGTTTTCTTCTGCGGCGGGTCTTGCAGAACTTAGCTCCGACCGCATGCGCAGTTTCCACGAGCTTGTCATTCGTATCGTCCACTGCATTGCAATCTTCTAGGCACTGAAAGTGGTTACGTAACTCCAGCTGAAAGATTTCGGGATTCTGGATTAGAGCACGAGGGGGGACGGAGCGTTGACTTCATTACACGAGACCTCTCCAACTTAACGTTTAGATTCAGTGTGCCTCTAACCATTCGGTGATCGCTGCCAGTTTTCACCCTTGCGATCACTGAGACATCACTGAACAGTTGGCGTCTGGTCGCCATAATGAAATCAATCTCATTATTCGTTGAACCTTCGGGGCTCGACCAGGTCCACTTCCTGTGGGGCTGCTTCTGGAAGAAAGAGTTCATGATAAAGAGTCCCTCTTTCTCCATAAAGTCTGCCAGCTGCTGGCCCCTTCGGTTCCGTTGCCCTACTACAAATTTCCCTAATTTCAGCTCACCGTTTTCTCTTGTGCCTAGTTTTGCGTTGAAGTCTTCCATCAACACCGTGTAGTGGGTTTTGGAGAAATGCATAGCTTTGGAAATATCCTCATACATTTCCTCCACCTCCTCATCGGGATGTGCCGAGGTTGGTGCGTAAACCTGTAACCTTGTGTGTAACCTTCAGCGAATACTGTTTGGTGATTCTGAGTATCAGGTACGCGACCCTCGTCGACACACTCCCAATCTTTACAACGTTGTTGACGAGAGACTTGTGGACGATAAATCCGACACCTCCTTGGGACAGATGGTCACCATCCCGGTGATAGAACAAGTTGCCGGATTTGAGAATCACCGTGTCCTCTCCCTCTTTTCGGACCTCGGATAATCCTATAATATTCCAGCGCAACTTGTCTATCTCTTCTTCCAGCCCCAGGATCTTCTCGTCAGTCCTCAGGGTGCGTGCGTTAAATGTTGCCAGGTCAAGTCGTAGTAGGTGGCAACCGAACCTCCACCGGAGATTCTTAGTACCCCCTGCCCCGCCGTTACCATGGTCGCCACCGTAGCCAGGAATAGCGGGGCCGCCGGGCCGTCTATTTGTATAATTGTTCATGGAGGGTATATTGCCATAGTTGCCATACTTGGCGAGCGGGTTGGCAACCGCAGTTTTTTTGTCGTACAGTTGCTGTTATCAGCTACTGGACTGGAAAGGATACGGTATTAACATCAATGGCGAGTACATCACTCACCTTCGATTCGAGTCCTTATGGCAGCATTGCTGGAGGACTTAAGCACTATGCTCAATGACCTCAATAGTGCCTCCCAACGGATAGGTCTTAAGATGAACATGGACAAAACAAAGATCACGTTTAATGTCCATGTCACACCTATGCCGGTAGTTGTTGGGAGCACTATGCTCGAAGTTGTTGACGAGTACGTTTACCTGGGACAAATAGTCCGACTAGGTAAGTCCAACTTCGACCGAGAGGTCAATCGACGGATTCAACTCGGCTGGGCAGCGTTCGGGAAATTGCGACATATCTTCTCGTCAGGTATACCTCAATCTCTAAAAACTAGATTGTACAACCAGTGCGTGTTGCCAGTGATGACTTACGGATCTGAGACGTGGTCCTTCACTGTAGGCCGTATGAGGACGTTCAAGGTCGCTCAGCGAGCTATGGAGAGGGCTATGCTCGGAGTTTCTCAGCGTGATAGACTCAGAAATGAGGATATCCGCAATAAAACCAGAGTGACGGACATAACCCAACGGATTAGTAAGCTGAAGTGGCAATGGGCCGGCCATATAGCTCGAAGAACCGATAACCGATAGGGAAAAAAGGTTCTCGAGTGGCAGCCTAGTACCGGTAGGCGTAGTGTAGGGCAACCCCCCACTAGATGGAGTGACGACCTGGTAAGATACGCAGGAAGTCGATGGATGCAGGTGGCTCAGGACCATGCTTTGTGGTATTACTTGGGGGAGGCCTATTTTCAGCAGTGGACTTGTGAAGGGCTGTAATGATGATGATGATGATTATATATATATTATATAGTTAAATAATTGTTGAACCGCCGAAGGCTCAGTGCGTGGAGGCGGGATGCGGCGGCGCTGTCGTTGCGCCACGGGTTGCTAAGTGTTAAACACTGTGTATAGTTTAAAAGTACACAGGCCTATGGTCAGCAGTGAACTTGTGAAGGGCTGTAGATACAGCGTGGCTTCACCGCGTAGGAAATACAAGTGTACATATTTTTTTATTTATTTAACTTCATATACACAGATGTATATAGGCGGACTTAATGCCTGAGGCATTATCTACCAGCCTACCTTAGAGTAGTGCAGAGATAAAAGAGGTAGGTGTAATAACAAGTATGTAAAATGTATAAACTCATATATATATCCTATACCTTTAAACGAGCAATTCTTGTATATATATATATATATATATATATATAATATATCTAGCTAGGATTTATTTTTAGAAAATGTCTTTTTTGTCCGTGTTTTTAGGCAATGAAAAACTGTTACAATATCGTTAGAATAAGAATGTAAATTTTGACAATTTATTAATGATTACAAATAGCTTAATTGGTATATTGGGCGGTCATAAAATCGTAATAACATGGTTCGATCCCAGACCGACCGACTGACTTTTTTTAATTATTTTTTTAATATCGTTTCTTTTTTGAGAAAATCTATTTTTCGAGCCCTTTTTTTAGTATTTTTTAGAAACACGAAAATTTAAATTAAACTAATTGCACTCATGATTTTTTATTCAAATAACCAGTTCAGTTTTTTCTATTATGTCGCTAAGATCAAAAAATATTATTCGTATTTCATCAGTATGTAATTTGTATCTAAATATAATTTCCAAAAAACACGAATTAAAAAAACCGAGCGAAAAAATACCGAGCTAAGCTCGGTCAACCGGGTACCATATATATATATATATATATATATATATATATATATATATATTAAATATAATATTAAACACGGCTAACTACGAACGCTAAGTTGATGCCATTTTATTGACGAGCAGTTCTCGCACTTTAGATTTGAACGAAATTCGGTTTTCGGCACTCCTGATTTCGGAAGGAGGAGCGTTCCAAAGAAGAACAGATTGAACAAAGAACGATGATTGTAAAATGTTAGTACTAAAAGGGGGGGGCACTAAAGCAAAAGGTTATTACTAGAACGGAGAACTGTATAATGGTTGGAGCTAAGATATTGAAAATGAGGAGTTAAATAAGATGGAGGATTAGGAGACATCAAGATAGAGTAAAGAGTAGTGAGTGCACGTAGACTACGGCGCTGACGAATGGGTAACCAGTTAAGTTGAGAGCGATAAGTAGACACATGATCATACTTTCAAAGATTAAAAACGAATCGAATGCAGTTGAAGACGGTCATATTTGTTCAAGAGTTCTGCATTCAGGTCATAATAACACACATCACCATAGTCAAAAATGGGAAAAATTAAGGTCTGCACAATAATCGTCTTGGTCCTGGACGGGAGAAAGTTCTTCAGGCTGTATTGAGAACGCAAAATACCTGTTACTTTCTACAAACATTTGCCACTTGAGTTTGCCAGCTCAAGGTGGAGTCAATGTGCAATCCAAGTATTACTCAGTTCTAAAATAAAACCGTTAAAAATGATCGGCAGTAAAGCTGTGGGATCCAGTTTCTTTATCATCCTTTGGCTACCTATTATTATAGCCTGACATTTGGATGGGTTCACCTTAATGATTTTACAGATTTTACTGATTTACAGAGCCTTAGTGGCTCATGGGCATGCTCGCTGTTAATTCACACTCGTAAATGTATAATGTCTAAATTCTCACAGTGTGTACGCGAGCAACCCTGCATCGATCGCCGCCCGTACCGATGAAATTGTTAGTTGCAGTTTTAGGACCACGTGCTCGGCGGTGAAGGAAGGCATCGCGATGTCTGTGAACTTAAAAAAATCAATGATAATATGTGAAGTACGCCAACACGCATTGAGGCAGCGCGGCGGACACGTGCCTGTGCCCAGCAGTGAGACGTATATAGGCAGCAACCATAGAATAAATACTAGTATAATAACTGTAACTTCACTTTTAAATTATTTTAGAATATCGAAGTGACTCGCCCTGTAAATATGGTATATTTTGACTAGTAAATGTCATAACATTTATTACTAAAAATGCAATTGGAGATGATGTTTTTGTATGTTAATGTGATTTTTAAAATATTTTGGGCTAATAAATATGTATGCAAATACTTTAAGGAGCTAACATAATGATGCCCTAACCAAATAGGGAATGTCCCTTCTTTCTTTCCTACAGGTAAAATCGACAAATCGCTTGATCTGGACGTCAGTGATACAAAAGTGTACTTTTATGATTTTGCAAAAAAAAATTACATCGTCTGTGAAATAAGAACTGCGGTGACTGTAACTAAAGCTATAACTCTGGACTTGTCTAAACGTTTTGTGGTCTTCGTCCCTGGGTATAAATGTTATACAAAACACGACATAGAGAAATGGATGAGGCAAGCATACAAAGATGATCCAAATATATATCTCATCATTATCGATCACTCCGCGTATACATACGAGACGGAGGAAAGACTTAGAAGCTACGAAAGATCTGTTCTCTATTCCTACTATATTGGCAAAGCATTGGGTGACCTTCTCGCAGAATTCAATAGAAAAGGATATTCGTCTGGAAGCTTCCATTGCATTGGTCATAGTTTGGGTGCTCATATTGTCGGTTACGCCGGTGAAAGTTACTTCGTTGAAACTTCAGAAAAATTTGGAAAATAACCGGATTGGATCCGGCTGGCCCTTGTTTTACTAAGGCCGCGCTTGAAGAGCAGCTGAGGTCTGGGAACGCGGAGTATGTCGAAGTATATCACTGTAATGCGGGACATTTAGGTACTAACAATGTAATAGGAGATATAGATTTCTTTTTTAACGAAGAAGGAAAGATTCAGCCCGACTGCCGAAGTAAGTATATAACAATTTTTACATTAATATAATATATAATTAATATAATGACTTATTTTTTATTATAAGTAAATATAAGAACAAGTATTTTTATGTGATAAAGCCACGCTGCAGCCGGCTACAGCACGAATGGTTCAGCTCGAACGGGAAATTATCACACACTCGTAGAATACTTTTATAAAACAAGGATAATACTACTGAGTTTCGTATGGTGAGCATAACTAAACAGAATTTATACAAGCCAAGCCAAGAATTTATACCACGCTCTCACAGAAGGCGTCTCACAGTACGGTGAATGTAGAGATCCAGAGACTCTTTTTTACTGGAAACGAGGCTTTCCATCTTAGTCCTCACGGGTGACAACGAATCTGCATTTTGATTCCTAATCGAGGATAGATGTAGGTGTCTATGGTCTACGTGACCCTTATTCTATAAAAAAGCCAAGGATCCTTTTTTAGATAACGAGGCTTCCATCTTAGTATTCTGGTTTGATAATGAAAATCTGCATTTTAATACTTCAAGGGTAGACATGTGTACCCATGGGCGATAGCATTAAATTATCATCCGGTGGAATGTGTGCTCACTTGTTAAATGTTTGGTTGTAAGTTACTGCTGTAGCCAAAATTAAACAAAAACAAAACACAAAAATTGTATTATCATCCAAGGCTAGAAGAATACCACATAGCCCGTTAGCACATATCGATAGATGCATTGGCAGCAGAAATTGGCAAGAGTAGAATTTGGGAGGGGGTAGGGGGAATAAGCTCAATTGCATAGTAAAATTGTCACATGGACTCCATTTATTTTGGAGGATAAAATTATATATTCTAAAATGTGTAAACAGTAATCTATCCATATAATTTTTTCTCTAGGTTTGAGCGACGATGACTTGGACAAATGTTATCACAAAGTTTGCGTAAAGTATTGGACGAGAACGGTTCATCAACCAAATTTGTTTTCGGCCCTGGCTTGTCCGACATATAAAGCGTTTTCGGAAGGCCGATGTAATAACAGTAAAACGACAATGGCCGGACATTCGAACCCGGGGAATGCTACAGGAATATTCTACTTGTTAACTGAATTTGATCAAGAATAATGATCAACATCAAATAAAGTTAATAAATTATTAACAATTTTGTCTAAGTTTCAAAAGCACGATTTTGGATTTTGGCTTTATCATAAGAGTAACGCCTCAAGAGGACCAGCTGGCGTCATGACAAACACAAGATGTCGTATTATAATTATAATTATAATTATAATTGTAATTATAAATTTCAAATAATTTATAGTTATGGAAATATGCCAACTTTAAAGCAAGAAAGATAAGAAGATAGATAGAAAGATAAATCTCTTTATTCTTCAACCCCGTGGGAATTTCGAAAAATCCTTCCTTATTATGTGATAGTAATTTATTACAGCAAAGAGGAGTGAGAGAGTGAGTGAATCGGGACTTGTTTTTAATAAATTAAAAATATCAAGATCAAAATTAGTTTACTTTTTTTAAGCAAGAGTAAAAATATACTTTTGATCAGCAGCTACTATTAGATGGGATAGTAGTTAAGCTTTGACTTATAATAGTTAAAATATATAATTGGCACGTCATTACGTTACCATTAGCACAGTTAGCCAAGCAATTTCAATTTTTTAAGAAATTCTTGAATAAATAATTACGAATAACGATCGAAGCAATTTTAAGTTGCACAAGATTATTTGTTCATAGCAATCCTTTGAAAACTTAATGGCTAATTTGTTGCATATTTCACCATGTGTATGAAGTGTGACTGTTCTATTGCGAAACTGTAAAAACGCCATTGTTTCCCTCTATTTCGCATAAACGAATACTTTATTTTCGGTAGGTACCATTTAGTTTTTGTAAACTCGAGAAGTTTTACATTCTATAATTAGTTATGCGTTAAAATCATAAATATTATTATGGCTTAGGCTTATTTTCTTCCTAAATTGAGACACTGTCTCTTATAGAAAAGAATTGCGGTGACAGCCACGCTAGACGGGCAGATTAGCGTTGTACCAATTTCTATTGCGTTACTCCAAAGTGATGATCACTAATCGAAATTTCGAGCAAATTAAAATGTATAGTTTTGTATTGAGCAAATTCAGTGATCTTTTTCTATAGAATAAGTGGGAAAAACGAGCAAACAAGCCACATGATGGTAAGTGGACGCTGTGGCCTATAGACATCTGACATTCATCTTCGATTAAGAATCAAAATGCAGACGCGTTGTCACTCCTAAGGACTAAGATTGAATGCCTCGTTTCCAGTAAAAAGAGTCTCCGGTTCTCTACACTCACCATAAGAGCTAGAACAGCATTAAGCTGCTATTTTATACTACGCTGATGTTATGTGAGGTGGGGTCCTACCCCGGTCAAGCCGACCCATAATTGCTACAACCATAATATAACTGCAGCTTTGTTCTACTACGTCAATCAACTGATCAATATAAATAATAGATGTTTCGCTCGGCCTAATTCCAGTCGCCAATCTGGATATACATGTAAACACAACAAGAAACAAAAAGCTTACTTATAAAACTAATAAACAGTTATGTGATGTCAAAAAGGATCCAGGCCTGTGGTTAGTTTACCACAATATTAGTTTTCTATCGGAACTTTGGCATAGGAGACTTCTTACATAGCAACAGTATGAAAATTTAGGCTCATGATATAAGTACGACTGTTTTTTTTTTTTGACAAAAATATAATTACTTTTAGTTATTGCATGCATTTTCTTGTGCTTCGAGACAGGCGACAACGCTCTCTTGAAGAAATATTGGCAGTTACCCTTCGGAGCCGCGTCTACGTGCAGTTTTATAAGAGTCTTTACGAATCGTCTTGTACACAGACTCGACGACTTTCCGAACAAGCCGGTTTCCGAAAAGGCTTTAGTTCCATAGATCACTTACATAACCTTCGGCATATCGGACAAAAGTCCAAAGAGTACAATTTGTCACTTTACCATACGTACGTGTACTATGAGAAAACCTTTGATGCCATCGCTACAGTCCGTTCAGTCGTATCAAATTGACTGTCGGTATATCGAAGTGTAGTTTAAAAAGTAGGGCTATGATGGCTATCCGCATATAGAACCGTGGAACGAAACCTATCATACTGCAGAGAGGTGTAAGACAGGGTGACGTGATATCGCCGAAACGATATTTGATGAGAGCATTAGGAGACGTTTTCAAACTGCTAGACAGGAAAGGACGGTATTAACGTCAATGACGAATACACCACCCAGCTTCGATTTGCCGACGATATAGTCCTTATGGCAGCATGGCGTGGAAGCACTATGCTCAATGACCTCAATAATGTCTCTCCCAATGGATATGTTTTGGGATGAACATGGACAAAATAAAGATCATGTGTAACGTCCATGTCACACCTATTCTGGTAGTAGTTGGGAGCACTACGCTCGCAGTTGTTCACGGGTATGTTTGGCTGGGACAAATGTCATACTAAGTAAGTCCAACTTCTACCGAGAAGTCAATCGAAGGATTCAACAACGAACTATGGAGAGTGCTATGCTTGGGGTTTCTCTGCGTGATAGACTTAGAAATGAGGATATACACAGTAGAACCAGACTAACCGACATAGCCTAACGGATTAGTAAGCTGAAGTGGCAATGGGCCGGCCATATAGCTCGAAGAACCGACAACCAATGGGAAATAAAGGTACTCGAGTGACAGCCTCGTACCGGCAGGCGAAGTGTAGGGCTTCCCCTCACCAGAAGTAGTGATGACCTGGTAAGACATGATGGAAGTCTATGGATGCAGGTGGCTCAGGACCGTGCTTCGTGGTGTTCCTTGGGGGAAGCCTATGTTCAGCAGTGGACTTGTGAAGGGCTGTAATGATGATAATGATGATTATATGTAACACCGTTCGGAAAGCAGTGTTTTATAATATGTTTAATACATATTAATTATTGCGGCACATCTGTAAATAATTGTAACGTGTAGAAACAACGCAACGCAACTTATTCTATTATAATAATTACTGAAATAACAAGATAATCTCTTTATTTTAATTATTTATCCGATAATAATAATTACTGCATAGTTTAAAAGTATCCTAGAAAAAAACGCAATACGCTGACGTTCTCTAAAACGAGTCGATTTAACAACTTTTTATGTAATGATTTCTTAAATTTACGTGAACACTACACGTTGAATAAAACTGTTATTTACGGATTTTATCGCTTTTAATTACTTTAATTTGTTTTTACTATCCCGACGTTTTATGTAAACTAAAATGTTCTTTTTTTAATCTTGCTCTTAGCATATAAAAAGACATTAAAAGAGATTTCATGTTTTTGTGACCATGCGTCTCACACGTGCCGTGCCAAAGCCTTAACCTACCTGTACCTGATGCAACGCTTCTTTTAATAATAGATAGATTGGCCCTGTTAATTACGTAGAGTCAGGGACGCCACGAGAAACCTAAAATAAATAGACTCGAAAACCAACAATTCACAAGTTGGCACAAATGTTGGTTCTGACTGAGGTTTAAACCCAGGATCTGCATTGTAAGTTGCAATGTACTCTTACCACAAGGCCATCGTATCATACGAGCTAATTATTAGCTAATGATCAGTGATGCCTATCGATTTTCATATATATTTGGTTGGTGTCCGGTTTCATCCGCTCGCCAAACGAAATACGGAAGCGTTATGATTTCGAATGCAGCGTGTTTATGTACACATTCAATAGAAATGAATAGAGTTTAAGGACGCGTTTACAAAATGGATAGGTATAGAATCGCACTACTACATTGACAAAAGTCACACACACACTAGTGTACGCACGGTTGGCTGTGGGAATCGTAGTCAAATGAAATTATTTTGATAATTTGAAAGATTGAATTTATTTTTCATTTCTTATACCTACCTCAGAAATATACTTCGATACGAAATATGAATACCTGCTCCAAAGACTGCTTGGCACTGGAAGCCCTCTACTGGTAGTGAGATGTTAGCTCTGGACTTTGAACTGGTTTTGTCAGTTATAATAAGACCTTACCTACCTGCGGACTTGATGGAGTGACCTGAAGGTGTAATTTGGTGATTACAACAATAGGAACTCCTAGACTAGTGGAACTAGGTGTGCCGAGTTTGGGTTCGTTTTGTTGGTTATGATGAGACCTTACCACCGGACTTGATGGAGTGACCTGAAGGTGTAATTCGGTGATTACAAGTGGAACTCCTAGACTAGTAGAACTAGGTGTGCCGAGTTTGGGTTCGTTTTGTTAGTTATGATGAGACCTTACCACCAGACTTGATGGAGCGACCTGAAGGGGTAATTCAGTAACTACTGCTGGAATTTCTGAACGAGTAGAACTAGATGTGCCGAATTTGGGCTCCGTTTTGTTAGTTATGACGAGTCCATACCTCCGGACTTGATGGAGTGACCTGAAGGTGTAAATCGGTGATTGCAACTGGAACTCCTAGATTGGTGGAACTAGGTGTGCCGAGTTTGGGTTCGTTTTGTAGGTTATGATGAGACCTTACCACCGGACATGATGGAGTGACCTGGAGGTATAGTTCGGTGATTACAAGTGGAACTTCTAGACTTGTAGGACTAGGTGTGCCGAGTTTGGGTTCGTTTTGTTAGTTATGATGAGACCTTACCACCAGACTTGATGAAGTGACCTGAAGGGGTAATTCAGTAACTACTGCTGGAATTTCTGAACCAGTAGAACTAGGTGTGCCGAATTTCACTCCATCAAGTCCGGTGGTAAGGTCTTATCGTAACTAACAAAACGAAACCAAACTCGTCACACCTAGTTCTACTAGTCTAGGAATTCCATTTGTAACCACCTGATTACACCTTCAGGTCACTCAATCAAGTCCGGTGGTAAGGTCTCATCGTAACTAACAAAACGAACCCAAACTCGGCACACCTAGTTCTACAAGTCTAGGAGTTCCACTTGTAATCACTGAACTACACCTTCAGGTCACTCCATCAAGTCCGGAGGTATGGACTCGTCATAACTAACAAAACGAAGCCCAAATTCGGCACTACCTAGTTCTACTCGTTCAGAAATTCCAGCAGTAGTTACTGAATTACCCCTTCAGGTCACTCT